GCACCTGCCTTGCAAGCAGGCGGTTGAGAGTTCGAACCCTGGTACAGATTTAAAAAAAAAAAAAAAAAAAAAAAACAAAGACAAAAGAGCTCAACATATTCATGCCCCAAAAGGCCACCCTGAACCAAGCTTTTTCATTTAATTTCCAGTTTACAGAAAATATGTAAGACAGAGGAACAATTAAACAATATTGCAAGGAAGCAATCAAATTTTAAAAAGTTGAACACTCTAGGATATTGCTTTAGTCTCTCAAAAAAATGTCAAAAGCACAAGCAGAAACAATACGAAACAGGAAGATTCTCCAGGATTAAAGAGCTAATTACATAACAGTCAGATATGATTTATAAGCTTTATTTGGTTTCAACAAACCTGTTACAAAATGGCTCAGAAGAATTGGGGAAATGTAAATATGGATTAGCCATTAGGTTAAATGAAATTTGGTTTCATGTAATAAATGTCTATGATTACATAAAAGTATGCTCGTTTTTAGAAGATGTATCAAGGATTTTAGGGCACACCAAGTAGTAAAACAAACACCATCGGGTAGAAATTTTCTAAAGCTACACATGGATCATATGCAGTATTTAATGTTCACTGCATTGTTCTCTCAATTTCTCTGTTTTCCTGAAAAATGTTCATGATAGACATAAGTGAGAGCAGTTTTAAATTGATTACTTGTTTGTAGTTTCACTAAGTCTCAAGTTAAAGTATTGTTTTAAATATTCAAATAGACAAATAAATCAGTCAGATAAACAATATCTGTCACAGCCATAATTCTGATGCACAGTATGGTGAAATACCAGGCCAACTGCTTTCTCTTAGGATTTCATCTTGATGAGCTTATTTATACAAGGATACATTCCATAGATCCACTTTCAGGTCTTCATGAAAGAGTTGCCTGCCCAGATGAAACACTGTAACCAGAAAAGGCTGCAGCTAAACTCCTCCCCCCCCTGCCCCCTATGCACTTGATTGTAACCCTATATCCCCATCCTTAAGAATCTGTGCGCCAATGAGATACCTGTGCATCTCTAATGGCATTAGGGTGCTGCCTTAAGCTTAGGCTATTTAGATTCCCCCACGCCACGTGTCAGAGAGAGACCTCCAGATTCCAGTGGCCAGTACGCCGGTCTCCTTTCCCGTGTTCCCGGAATAAAGGCCTCTTTTGTCTTATACTCCTCAACTTTTGGAAGCATCTTTTATCCTTTGAAGACAGACCTAACAGATGGTGCCCTGTGACTCGGCGGCAGGTGAGAGACTATAATTTTCTCAGTTTTGTTTTATAGTCCCCTGCTGTTAAAACTTCTTCACTTCTGCAGTCAAAAATCCACTACCGCTCTGGTGAGTAACCCCCCCCCTTACAAAACTTTTAAAGCAGCTTTCTTTCCCAGAGCGGCTCCTCTCCCTCCCCGCCGCTTGCTGCCTCCGCGCACCCCCTCGGCGCCGCTGGTCCCAAAGTCATGGGACGGTCTCCCGTGTGGCCCACAAGGCCTAGTCACCCCAGGGAGGGCCCGCGCCCGGCACCTCTGCGCCAGGCGCCTCTCCCTCCCCCCTCCCACCACATTTTAGCTCCCTTTATTTCGCCGGCGCAGCGGCTCGAGCCCCGGCCCTTCCCATTCATTGCCTCCGCCCGCGCCTGGCTCCTCTCCCTTTTGTTTCCCACTTTACGCCAGTCTGTCCGCCACCGCCGTTCTCCCGAGGTTAAATGAGACCAGACAATGAGACCTCAGATTCACATCAAACTGCTTTTGATTTTAAAAACAGCCTTTTTTCTTTCTTTTCGCTCTCACATTGCATTCCAATTCTGTGGGCCTCTCTGGCTTTGGCTTCCAGCCCAGCCCATTTCCTGTTTCACCACCCGTGCGGCTACACGGCGGCAGCGTCCCGCAGCGGTCCTGCGCCATACCCCGCCTGCCGTAGCTGCCCAAAAGCCGTGGCTTTCACAGCGCGCCCAGCTCTGGCGCAGCCGTGAGCCTTTCAAAACAAAGCCCGCCTAACTTCACGCTGTGCCTCTCCCAAGGCCACAGCATACTACTCGCCCTGCCCCACGCACGGGGCTCCGCGCAGCAAGCAAGCCGTGCCTCTGACTGCCTCTGCCGCCGCCCCGCCCCTCCGGGGCCCAGCCACCGCCTTGGCCGCCGCCCCGCCCCTCCGGGACGCGGCCACCCCCTCTGTCGCCCGCCTTGGCCGTCGCCAAAAAAAAAAGTTCAGGGCAACAACAGCCCCCTTTAAGGTGTCCGTCTCAGATTCCAAGTCACACTAAAGTCTCAGGTAAGACATTCTCTATATTTGTGGACATAGAGGCCATATATACAGAGTTCTTCCTGAGTATTCAGGCTGCTATATTAAGTCCTCAATCTCTATGACAGGGTATTGATGGTCAACCTATGCCATTTACATTACAAACAGGGCCTATCTTGTGCAGGTCCCAGTCCTAAATCTTAAAATGCCTTTTATACAGGCTGACTTAGACACACTGAGGCCTCAACAGCTTCCACCTGTTGTTGCTGGTAGACTCTTCCTCAGTGATATAGACCACCCCCTTCCTTTCTTATTCACCAATTTCTCAGGTACCCTGGTCAAGACTGACAGATACATTTTTATCTTCTCACTTGGTTTATACTTTTTCAGGATACATAAAAGCCTTTCTCATACTTGCTAAAGTTCTGTTACAGCAAATCATTCCAAGGACTACTACGCAGCATGGACACAATGGAGGAAGGGACAACTCACCTTAATAGTGGGACGAGACAGAATGCTATTAGGTTTCATCAACTACTCTGAAAGGAGTGTACTTTAAAAGTTAGGAATTGTTTTACTTTTGGAATTTTCCATTTACTATTTCAAACCACAGTTGGTAGCAGGTGATGGAAAACACAGAAATAAAAACACTTATCAGTAGGGATACCTACATTTATTTAACTTTAAAACACCAAATTCAAGTTCTCAGTTTTAAAAGTGAAAGTTCCTCTCCTATAGATAGAATAGTACCAGAGCCAAGTTCGGGAATCTGGTTAAATAAAAGGTACTCTATAAATTGATCATGAATTAAAATGCATGATTTGTGAACCCTGTGGAGTCTCCCAGATGTTTTTAGAGGGTCTATAAGGTCAAAAATTGGTTTTCTACACTTTTCATTGTGTTGACATTTTCACTGATGGTACAAAAATAATGCTGAGTAAAACTGCTGGCAACTTAGCACAAATCAAGGCAGAGGTACCAAGCTACAGTAGTAGCAATCAAGTTCTGTAGTATGTAGTCTGAATAAAAGAATGTATTTTACTTTCAGCTGCCTGAGAAAAAGCTGTAAAATTATTAATTTTGAACCTTTCATATGCAAATAGTCCGTGTGATAAAATGAGAAACACGGATAAAGCACTTCTTTGCAGCATACTCTCAAATGTGTCAACACTTGGAAAATCTGCATAATTCAGTAAATAAATATATTTTCCAAATAACATGACACTAAAAGGCATGCATGAGAAAAAGAGTCATTCAAAATGCAAGACAGACCAGTGGGTTTTAATTTAACAGAGTAGGGAAAATGTTCTGATGTAGTTTCAAATTCCATTGTAACAAATATTTAAGAAATGCTTGTCAAGCTTTGGTGTACTGTTACAGAAGAATATTGTATCTAATATTATACATAAAAGCTACATATTGTGAGGTCATATTTTATTCATCATTCAATCAAATCACATAATGACAAACTGATCACATAAGGTGATATTACAGTACAGGTATCTTTTATTAAGCTAAATATTAAAGAGATTTACAAAGACTTTCAAAAAGTAGAGGGGACAGTAATTCTTAATGAAATGCTATTCATGACCCAGGAATTCCACTTCTTTTTTTTTTTTTGGTCTTTTTCCTTTTTATCGGTACCAGGGATCGAACTCACGACTGCCTGCTTGCCAGGCAGGTGCTTATGCCACTGAGCTAAATCCCCAGCCCGGAATTCCACTTCTTGGTATAACCCAAAGGAAAAGCAATCAGTATTTGCAGTGGCATTTTTACTTTCATGTCCAGTGTAACACTACACATAACAGCCAAGATGCGGAACCAACTTAGGTGTTCATAAATGGAAGCATGGTTTAAGAAAGTGCAGTGTGTATATATATGACAGAGTATTATTTAGACATAAAAAGACCGAAATTCTGTCATTTACAGCAGTATTAATGAAACTACAAAACCTGTTAAGTGAAGTTAAATGCAGTTAAATGAATAGTGCCTGTCTCACTTATCATTGAAACTAAAAAAATTGATCTCATAGAAGTTAAACAAAAGTAGTTACCAGGGCTTGCAAAGGAAGGTGGAGGAAGAGAAGACAGTTAAAGTTGCAAGGACTCAAATGAAGAGGAGGAATAAACAGTAATATCCTATAGCATAGTATTATCTTCAAACAGTAGAAAGAATTGCTTTTTTTTTCCTTTTTTTTTTTTGACAGGGTCTCTCTGTAGTTCAGTCTGACCTTGAACTTACAGTGATCCTCCTGCCTCAATGCTGAGATTACAGGCACGCACCACCATGCTATACTGTAGAGGATTCTGAATGTTCTGAACACAAAGAAATGATAAGTATATGAAGTAAAAGAAAACAAAATGTTATTCATATTAACATGTAATCAATTTTTTAAATGAATTAATAATAAAAATTCAAAATTTTCTTAATTTATAATACACTGCGTATCAACATACCATGAAAACAAAACCTCTTTGGAATCTTCAATTATATGTAAGAGTATAAAAGAACTATAAACCAAAATGTGAGATAACCACTGAATTAGAAGAATGGGATAACTAAGTGTGTTAGAGAATATAAGAAAAATGAAAGGACTATAAAGGATCACATACCTACTCCAAGATTATATGAATAACCCAAGTAAAGTAAAAACCCTATTAAACAAAATAGTTAAAAAAATTATGATAACCTTCAATGCCATCCCATCTGTGCCGCACAACAAGCAAACACACACAAAACACCAAAGCACAGCTTCTCACCCTGGCTGTGAGGACTTGCTGGACTGAGAGATGGCTGATGCAAATCTTTAGTTGGTGTTGGAGAAGCTTCTTTGCCTTGGCGTTGACTCATCTTTCCTGGTGTCAGAAGAAGCTGAGATTCGTCACTGTTTGCTACAACAGCTCAAGGAAAAAAGAAAAATATTATTAGCCCTAAAGCCATAAATTTGTATGTAATATTCAATAAAATATGAAATAAAATCATAATTGAAATGATCTTAGTGGTTATATTCATTTTACAACAATACTTTAATAAATTCATATTATTCTATTTTGCTTTTATATTGGTTTATCATAATCCAAGAAGAACTGACAAGTATGCACAAATCAAATACGCAAATCATAGACATTACATGAGATACCTATCCAACTAAGAACGAATGGCATCCCACCTTTCACTGAGCTATTAGCTTCTTAATTTGCCAGTAGAACAACAAACAAAAGACAGTCATTTTTAATAGAAAAAATTCAAAAAGCACATGAAAAGATTGCTTCATTGGTAACTAGGAAAAAAACATAAACTATTAGCAGTACAAAATGATATTTCACATGTACTGGCATTTGTACTCTAATTTCTGATTCTCATGAAAAGAAGAAGGTACTGTACAATTTTTGTTTTAGACATGGAGAAATTTGAGGTTCACAGATTGCCTTGCTTAAAACTAAGGAGGGAAATAACAGAGGGAAAGCTCCAATTCAGAACCATTTGGTTTCAAAGACTTTTAGAAGTTTGCTCTCTTCATAATTAGTTTAAACTGTGCTCTTTGAGGCAGCTTCCCACTCGTATAGCCAAGCTGCCAACAGAAGAAAGCAATATAAAACGAAGAAAATGAGAAGACAAACATCCAGTGTGGTGGAGTTAAATATTAAGTCAACATGGACCTATGTTCCCAATTTTCCATTTTATGCTTTTAAGCTTTTTCAGCTTAGCCAACCTTTTATATTAATAAGTCTATCACCACTTTTTTTAAGATCATGTGACTCCAACATACTTTCCATAGTGCTGAAGTTTGCAAAACAAAATTTTAGCTCCTTATATTTCAAAGTAAAAATAAAGTGCTTTCATTTATTCAATTAAAAATATACAAAAGCATTTACCAAGTCAATTAAAAATCTACAGACTAGTATCTCCTAAATTTACAGCTCTAGCTATAATTTACATCTCCTTAATCTAAAACAGTCTGTCTCACTTTTTTTTAAACTATTTATTAAGCATCTCAACCTTCCCTACAATCTAATTCTTGATTCTGCTTATCCTCCAAATCTACTTCTTTCTCCTTCAATCAGTTAGTAATATCACTAACCACTAACTGATCTAACCACTTTTCTTTCCCTCATATTTCACATCCAATTAAATTTTGTGAAATCTTTATAGACTCTGCTTTCAAAATTTATCTGGAATTCTAGTACTTCCCACTTCCACAACAACCACTCTAATCCAAGCCACCATTATATTTCTAGTGGCCCTGTGAAACTTTATTCTCATAAAGCATATAGTAAATTCTTCAGTTACAAAATCTAAGACTCATTTGATTACTAAAACTCAGAATTTAAAATGCGTAACACTGATGCAGAAAAAACAAACTGACCTATAAAAGAGAGCTCTCAGAAGTAGACCCATAAGTATGTTTTACCTACATATACAACAGAAGTAGGAAAAAAGATTACTCAATAACTGATACCAGGACAACTGGTCATCTATGGAAAAAGAGATTCTCATTTCATACCACATACAAAAAACAGCTCTATAAATATAAAAAACAAAACTTCAAAATTTGTGCAGTAAAAGACAGAATGATTCTTTTAAAGAGATATAGCAAAATAATCAAAAAACAATAAAATTTTATATTAAAATTATAATTCATTTAACCAAATGATTCCATAATGAAACTGACAAGAAAGGTACAAGACAGTAAAATGTATTTGTAACACATGTAGTTAACAGAGTTTGTATAAGACTGCTTGAAAAAAATTAAGTCAATTAGCAAAAGATCAACATAACAGAAAAACAGGGGAAACAACCAAACATCATTTCACAGAAATGAAGTAAGTATCTGTAAATATATGAAAAGAATTCTTTGTCCTTAATAATCAGGAAAATATAAACCAAAATCAAAATGAGATAAATGTTTTATATTTAGACTAAAAAAATTAACAAGTCTGGTAATATCAAATACGGATGAAGATGGGATTATCGAGACACCATAGGAACTGTTGGTGCTACACAGACAGAAGCATTTGGAAAAAGCAATTCTGAGCTACTTTATATAAGGGTGATTTCATTCAACATATACTATATAGGTCCAACAACTCTACTTTTAGATTTATATCTTGAAAAACTATTACTTGTATATATCAAAGGACAAGAGTAAAAATGAATAGTAACACTACTCACAAAGCAAAAGCCAAAACAACTTAAATATTCATCAGTTGATAAATAAAATGGATTAATAAATTCTAGCACATGTATATAATGAAACAGCATTTAGCACTCAAATGGAATGATATATTTCTAAAAGGAACATGGTTCAATATTAGAAATACATCATCCACTACTAAAAGCAAGATTATATATAGTACGGCATTCTTATAAAATTAAAACCAAGCAAAACTTGCTAATTTTAAAATAACAGCAAAGCTTTCTTTTATGTTTATTTTTTAAAATAAGCAAAACAGAAAAAAGGATAGAAATGATACATAATTTTAAAAAATAGTAGGAAATTTACACTAACATTACATATTGTTATTTCAGAATTAGTTGTTCGCATTTTAAAAAGTAAAGAAAGCTATGCATGGTGGCACCTGCCTATAATTCCAGTATTCTGGAGGTTGAGGCAGGAGGATCACCAGTTCAATGCCAGCCTGGGCTACACAGTGAGTTCAAAATCAGCCCAAGGGCAAGAGATACAGCTCAGTACATCGCCTGCCTGGCAAGAACGAGGAACTAAGTTCAATTCCTGATATCAAACAAACAAACAAAATAGCCTGAGCTACATAGCAAGACCTTGTCTCAGAAAAGCCAAGATGAATGAATGAATGAGTGAGCAAAAAATAGTAAATTAAAAAAATTATTTATCCCTGGAGGCAGTCAAGGGATAACAGAAGTGTAAGATGTGAGGTATTTTTAAGATTCTAGTTTTTACTTTGAGTCACTATTTAGTCATGCTTTATTACTTACATAAGACATATATTCTTTTGTATGAATTCAGGACATTCTGGCTTTAGGACTCCATCAGCAAGACACATGTATGCATGTCTTGCTTAATTTCTCTATATAAAATAGATCATTCTAGAAGCACAAATTTAGTTTAGTTTATTTACCACTTTCTAATTCCTCTTAAAAGTGAGGTAGTACTTTGATTTTTGACAGCCCTGAAGTGAAAGAGTACATAGAAACAATGATGTTTGAGTGTTACAAGAAAACAGAAAGTCAATCTTTCTATTTATTTCCTCTCACCCCAGTTATAAGAACTAAAAACTACACAAACAAAAAAAGGTTCTGTATAACATAAAAATCACTTCAATGGCCTATGTTATTTATACAATAGTGATTATCTGAAGGAAGTTTAAAAGAGTAGTGGCTTTGTGATCACTGGCACATAACTGGCAAGTACTTGCTAACTGGCTGAAGAAATATTTGGGAGTGAAACACTACCTGACTGCCCTGTAGTTTCTAACAACTGATTCACTAACTAAAGATAGCATTACAGTGCCCTCTGCTGGTTCTCTTTACAGTGGCTTTGCTCATATTTAGCAGAAATCACAGTGGATTAACCAATAGCATTATAATTCACATACCAGTTATGCTTTCAAGATAAATAAGAATCTATAACTAACATTCTTTATGAATTCAACTCATCAATATAAAAATTGGTGCACCTGTAATCCCAGCTATTTGAGAGGCTAAGGGCGATGAGTTCTGAGCCAGTCTGGGCAGTGAAACTCACATCTAAATCAAATAAACTAATAAATAAAATCTGAAGAATTTTACAATCTTCAAAGTCTAGAATTTGCCCTTAATGTAAATGAAAGCAAAGATAAAATTAAGTATGATTTTAAAGTTCTAAATAATCTGTATGTAAATCCTAAGACTCCCAAAAAGATTTGTGCAGCACTGTTCTCTTCCTTTTAAAGTAGTCGTTATCTTAGAAATTCTGGTTATATAATAGGGAATATATTTAAAATGCTGCAATCAAGAATTTTAATATAATTTTTAGAATAAAATTATATACATACTTCAACCACTATTAGAGACACCTGATCTAGACCAAACTTTTTTTTTTTTTTTTTGAGGGGGGTAGTGGTGGTGCTGGGGATCGAACCTAGGGTTTGATGCATGCAATGCAAGAACTTGAGGCACATCCCCAGCCCTAGATCAAAATCTTTTATAACTAAAAGAAACTTTGGTCATTAGCTTCTTCCTTTCATCAGTGAAGAATGTGAACCCCAGAGCAATGAAATAATTTGCAACAGTGAGAAAAACTACTTAGATATACTAATATACTCCAAACCAATACAATTTCCTTGTTCTTCAATATAATTAAAATCTGTCTAATTTCTGATGCAGGAAAATCTTAATTACTTGATTAAATTTGAACTCAGAAAACTAATAGTTTCAGATTTCTGAGTAACAGAAGAAGGAAGATACATAGGGCTAGTTACCAATGCTTCCTAGGTATTTAATTTCTTAGCTTTTTTTCATCATTTATGACAACATTCTTCTATTAGATCTATGTTTCTTTAGCCTCAGTAATTCTAAAAATGATTAATACAAAAGTTATCCCTGTCACTCTCCAGCTAGACTATAAAACTCTTTACAGGCAGGCAACATGCATTGTGTGTCTGTCTCACACAACATCCATTGTGTCTGTCCCTATCCCGCTAAGAACCTCTTAGTGAAATTTGCTGAGGTGAACTAAATATAATTCTAAAGTAAATAAAATGTTTCACTAATAAACCACAAAAAAGATCATAAAAATTATCTTATCTAAAATTGTGACAGAATAAAACAATATCTCATTTTCACATGCAGTGAACTTCTTGCACCACATTCTGCTTTATGTTTTGTAATAACTGAGGAAAGGAATACTATGAAAAAGGGGCACTAAGTTATTGACTGGACAATTAAGTAAATATTGCATCTTCAATATATTAAGATGTAAATACTCTTAACTTTGTCAATCCCTGATAGAACATCAGAACTCAGGATCTCGCACTCACCAGGAAAGGGCTTGAACAACTGAGCTAAATCCCTATCCTCTCCCCACTTTTTTGGGGGAGGGACAAGGTTTCACTATGTAGTTCAAACTGGCCTTGAACTCATAGTGATCCTCCCGCCTCAGCCTCCCATGTGCTGAGATTACAGGTGTGCACCACCATACCCAGCTACCATTTCTGTTCTTTACTTTGTGGTACAGTACCTAGAAAGAAAAGTAGGTTTAGTAAGATAAAACTGAGTTATCATCTGAATTTTGTAAGTACACATCAAAATGTTTTTATGTCCCCAAACACAACACTTAAACTCAAGCTACTTACTTGCTGGCCCCAGGATATCTTTGCTATCACCAACAAGCTTTTATGCAGAGTAATTGAGCAGCAAACAAATACAATCCAAACCAGGAAGAAGCAAAATGCATCAGGATGGAAGCAGCAGTGAAACAAAAGGACAAGGAAAATAGCATTAGTTTATAAGTAGAAAGCACATGCACATCAATCCTCATAATCATGGTTTTTTAGAAATTTCCTTTTCCACACCAAAATAAATTGGCAAATGACAGTAGGAAGAGAAAAATGGAATTATTCAAGTTTTGTTTTGAAATTATCCAAGTCAAAAATGATTTTCAATTACAATTGAAGATTCTGTATGGATTAGGGCTGGTAAAAATTGTTTAGAAATGTGAGGTAGCCAAAAGCTGTACATTCTGTAAATTTAAGGTGGTTTAAAAACATACAAGACTCAGATACAATTAAATATTAGTTCTGCATGCCATGAAAGCACTTACTATTATAGAGATATAGTTTCTTCTACAAAAAAAGAAAGGAATAGGTACTGTTTATCATATGCTAAGCATTGTCCAAAAAGCTGCTACAAGGACATCAACAAAACAGAACAGTTTATTTCAAACAGCAAAAATAATTCAACAAGAAATATTCATTAGAAAGAAATTTTATTACATTAGACAAAATATTCTTCAGACTCACTAAATTAATATCAAGCATATCATCTGAAGCTACTACGCTTTTATGAAGTCAGAAGAATTATAATCAACTAAAAGAAACAGAAAAAGATTGATCTTTTATTTAGTAACTATTTTTACAACATTATTCTATATGTTGCCTAAGTGTTCCGTCTGCCTTGCTAGGAACAGAGGTCTCAACTTACCTTCACTTCAGATATTTAGTGAAATGATAATACCAAAACTAACTGGGCATGGTGGCACACACCTATAATCTCAGTAATCTAGAAGGCTGAGGCAGGAGCATTCTAAACTCAAACCAAGCCTACATAATTTAGTGATCTAGCAAGAACACATTTCAAAGAAGAGCGGGGGGAGGGTTGGGGAATGTTAACTCAGAAGAGCTCGGTGTAAAGACTCTGGGTTTAATATCCAAAGTAGAAAAAAAAGGAAAGAAGGAGGGAAGGAAAGAAGGAAGAAGAAGGGAAGGAAGGACTAAGGCAACAAAATCAATAAATTTCCACTCATTATATATAATATTATATTGTTTCTCAGTTTAATTTAAAAAGAATGAGGGAAACTTAACTGGCTGTGGCAAAACAAGGTAGCACTTGTTTGTTGTGGGCCTCTGTTACCTGGAGAAAACCTGGAACCTGTATCCCTAGAGACGGTATTTCACAATGTTTAAAATTATGTTCTATAGCCTTTAGGCATTCATTCTATTTTTTACAGTATCACTTTAGATTTATTCTTCTATGAACTGGTTTCAGTTTCACACATAAAACTTGAAAGGATACCGCTTTGTTGACAATGCACTAACTATTCATAGGTCCTTATTACTGATGGTCATGTTATTGCAACTGACAAGGTTTCAGGAAGAAAATTTGTATTTGTGGCAAGCAACTTCTAAAATGTCCCCTGGTGATTCTTATTTCCTGGTACAACCCTTCCCTGTGAGTGTATGCTGGAACTACTAAATCACCTGACAGAACAAGGCAGAAGTGATGGGACGCCTCTTCTGAGATTAGATACTAAGATGCCTCTGACTTTCATCGTGTTAGCAGTCTTGACTGCTCTCTTATAGATAAATCATGCTGGGGAAAGCCAGCTGCCACTTGGTGAGGCATCCATTCAGAGAGGGCTGCTAAGCAGGGATTGAAATATAGCAACAATCATTAAGTGAACTGAGAGGGTCTCCTTGCACTGCCATTCATCCACACAAGCAAGCTTTCAGTACAGATCACAGGAGCATCTCCGCCCAAATCAGTAACCACATGACTAACTTTGAGTCAGGGTAACTATTTGATGGGGTAAGTTTGAAATGTCTCTTAGACATTCAAGTGGAAATTTCAAGTAGAACAAGAAGGAGAGGAAGGGCTAAGAGCAGGAGGTGGAAGAGAGGAAGAAAGGAAGAGGACCTTCAGACAGAGACAAGCTACAGAAGGGAGCAAATTTAGAAGCCTCAGGAAAGAGTAAGGCCAGTATTACTAGACTGGAATGTAATAAGTAAAAAAGGAGCAGCAGATGAGGTCAGAGAGTAAATGGATCTAGATGATGTAAGAGTGTATAGGGCCTTGTCAGGACTTTGGTTTTATTTTGAGTAAGACAGAAAACCACAGAATGGTGGGTGGTGGTTGACATGATCTGTTTATGTTTTAACAGGATTGTTCTGACTGCTATATTGAGAACAGACTAGAGGGAACAAGGGTATAATTAGTGAAAAGGTTACTGCAATAATCTAGGGGTGAAAAGGAAACGGAACAAGCTAGTAGTGGTGAAGGTAATGAGAGGTAGTTGAGTTCTCGAATATATATTAGATATAGAGAGAACAGTATGATTTCCAAATATACCAACTATGAGAAAAAACAAAAGAATCAAAATGATGTCCAGCGTTGGGAACTGAGCACCTGAAGGGTAAAAATGCCATTATATGAGGTGGAAAAGACAGAGAGAGCAGACAAAGATCACAGGGAGAAATATAAGGAACTCAATTTGGGACAGATAAGTCTGAAATGTCTACTAGACATTCAAGTGTAAATTTCACATAGGCAGTCAGATACATAGTCCTGCAGAAAAAGAGGTAAGAAAAAGTACCATCATTTGTGTGAGAGGTTACTATAACTTCAGTGCCTTAATCACTAAAGACTAAAAAATGCCACCAGATAAAAGATAATAATGATGATGATAATACAGCAAAACTTAAGAATCAAGCTGAAACATTCCAAAAGCAAACTTGAAACGAAAAGAAATAAGCATGACTTTAGAAACATTTCTCAGAAGGACATGGATACAAAGACACTAAAACTGGAAGCAAGAGAAAGTATCCTTCCAGAATTGCTTATCAGTGATACTAATGAGAAAGGATATCATTTAGTGAGGACTATGTATCACTTTTGCCAAGTAATTTACCTCACTAAAACCCGTAATGGTTAAACTGCCAGTATTAACGTCTTATTCTTACTAGTTTTAGAATGTGGGGCTGCTCTGTACAGCATCGTATTATGTAACTCATGAATGAAGACAATGAAATTACTGATGTGGAAATGCTCTACACACATGTATTTTATAGGACGCATTGCCATTAGTGCTCCTCACTTTGAACATACCTATCCCATCTTCTTGCCACTTTCTGAAACCAGTCTAAAAGTTCTCTTTATTAGTGTTCTTGTAAGCTAGGCATTCTATTTGTCTTTTGCTAAGGTGCTAAAATACAACACTTCTACCATCTCAATTCTGGAATTTCTCCACAGTTTGTTCAGCAAAAGGCTGTTAAGATAAACAAAATAGGTTTTGTAGTGGAATAACTTATAATATCCATATAGTCATCTCAATAATTTATTATATCAAAAGATTACTTTGGTAGAAAGTATGGAATGAAAACAGTAAAATAATAGCAATATGCCTGGAACTTTTACTTATTAACTAACATAACTTATTAAAAGAATGAAATATTTATAGCTATTATCTAATCATTTCAAAAAAGCACTATACAAAACAGGTGGTCTTATTTTATAGTACATCTAAGTATTTGCTATCTATAATTAACATCAAACATCTAATATTTAAAAAATACAAAGAGAAAGAAGTTCATCATCATTCTCTTCACTCTGAAAAACACCTCAATCTCAATCAAACCAAGACAGACTGTTATCCTACATAATATAAAAATGGTTTCATAGAGCTATAGCTTTCATTATATTGCCTTTCCAACAGGTTTCTTTTAACACACATATTGGTGTGGTTGAAGTCATCTGGTGAGGTTAAGGGAAGGACAAGAGCTGATGTCACTGATCGTCGCCCCCCCCCAAGTTGGTTTGGTTGTCACACAAGCAATCCTGCTGCAGCTGGTTTCCAAAAACCATAATTTGAAAGGATAACACAAAACATCTCAAGGGTGCTCCATTTACTGTTATCTTTGGCTCTTTAGAACAAGAATTCAGCACAGGATATATAATGCAGCAGAGGGCTGCTTGTTCTTAAAAGTCATCATTCTATACTTAGATTCAACTTTTCATATTCCTAAAATCATCTGCAAAGCACCCACATGTACATTTCATCCTTGAGTTGACAGAAGAGATTTTAAAGATATACTTTTTTTCCTGGGAACTAGAACTTATCACTGCTGGATACAGAATATGATCGGGTCCAGTAGACAGTTATTTAAAATAACTTGATCTACACTTTTGATCTAGTTCTACTTCTAGGATCATCCAAAATGTTCAGAAACATTCCTCGGACTGGGAGGAACCAACCAAGAAGCCAACTGTCTGGTAAGCTTTGCAAGCCAGGTGGGTACCAGAAAGAAGAAAGTCAGCGCCTCTCCTGAGCCTACCAGTGTGTGGGCTGAGAATCAAACCAGCCCCTCCACACTCCCCCTCCCCCACCCCACCCTAAGCAACTGGCTGGTTTGAAGAACAGGCTGAGTTGATAGCAACTAAGATACAAAATGTAATTAAATGCTTGTATTATTTGGTTGATTTTGCAGGTCTAGGGCCAGCAGTCGCAGGATCTCTTGGGAGGATGACAGTGTATAATATAGCAAATAAGAGGGATTTCCTTCTAAATCCAGTATTGTTCTCACTGTTTTGCTTTGTTCTAATTATTTTGCTTTATTCTGTTTGCTTTTGTATTTTTCTAGAATTTTAAATTGGAAGTAGTTATTTTCTATTGTATTTAATCAGATTAAATCATACTAAGAAACAGCAAGTATAGGTGGAAAAAATCAGTTTTTTTTTTTTTTTATTGCTACCAGGGATCAAACTCACGACTACCTGCTTGCAAGGCAGGTGGCTTATGCTGCTGAGCTAAATCCTCAGCCCCCGAAAAAAATCAGTTTAAAAATTATGTTTACATTTTCTCAAAGTGTAAATAGGTTTCATTAGAGGAAATCCCTCATAAAGCAAACAGTATTCTGTCTTGACTGGTTTGTCAAAACCAGTATTTTAGTATTCTATTTTGGTTTGATTTTGCTATACCTGATGGAACGGACAACTATTATAAAGATAACAAAATATACTATGGTAGCTATTGTTGTTTTCCTAATAGCGTACTTTGAAGTTGTGTACCAGTTTCCTGCTTTGCTTTAATTGGCTTTGTTCTGTTTTGTTTTGTTGGATTTTATTATCTTAAAAAAATATTTAGACACCAATCCAACACTATTCACAGTAATCTAAAACAATAACTTATTTTAGCAGGTGTTTAATAATAATACTTATACAAATACTATATAGTCATTTAAGTGCTTTTTTTGCTGAACAATTTTTATAAAATTTCTTATGTAAGACATATACATCATATACAAACTGAGGAAAATGCCACTGTTAACTATAACTTACATTCAAGAAGTAGGATTTCACTTATCTATATTTTTCTGCATTGTTTAAATGTGGCCAAAAAAGATTAAACCTATTTACACTTTGAGAAAATGTAAACATAATTTTTAAACTGATTTTTTTCGGGGGCTGGGGATTTAGCTCAGCAGCATAAGCACCTGCCTTGCAAGCAGGTAGTCGTGAGTTCGATCCCTGGTAGCAATAAAAAAAAAAGTTAAAAAAAAACCAAACAAACTGATTTTTTCCACCTATACTTGCTGTTTCTTAGTATGATTTAATCTGATTAAATACAATAGAAAATAACTACTTCCAATTTAAAATTCTAGAAAAATACAAAAGCATTAATGTTTTAAACACAGCATCATATTACTCATTGTCTCTTGAACTTCAGCAACATCTGAATATGGCAGGATCTTAAAAAAAAAAAGCAAATCTCAGGAATAATTTAATCTCATGTATATGAATCTGAATCCAAACAGCACCTACAGTTTATCAAATGAGTTAAGTGGTGAAGTAATCTTTTAAGAAGTATATGGGATTTGGCGGAGGAGTGTACAAAAAGTACTTTTACATTAAAAATTGAATCCTAGAGAAAAACTTTTTTTAACAAATCCTGAGGCGTCTGGAAACTAGAATCTGCCAAATTATAGTCTTCTCTGGAATGCTCTGGGAGGGTCTGTATATGTATGTATGTATATAACTCTATCAGCCTTTTAACCATGAAAACTCTTAGCTCCTTTGGTTTCTAAAATGCTACATTGCTCTGGGTTCCTGCTCTATTTTCCTGTCTTCTCGGTCCTCTCATTCAGTGAGTGAATGGAGATAACCAGTGCTCAGCCTGAATTACTTCTTTCTCTACCTGCTTTCTACCAGCAGATTCCATTCATACTGGAGGTTCACTTACTATCTTTATTCTGGTAACATCCAAGTTTCTTCTTCATACCTAACATATCAAAGTTTGAACATTATGGCAGATTAACTTCCAGTTGTAAAATTCAGTTAACAAAGGAAAGGCTTTTGTTTGTTTAATAAAGCATTTTTATGACAAAAACGGCACTCACCAGCCTTATCTTAGAATCCAGTTCTAATACTGATTTGGGCAACTTTGACTCAGACCTAAACTATGAGCCAATTAAGTCTTTGTTTTCCCACTTGATTTAATAATTAAGTCATTAAGTTCTGATTATTTTTACCTCTACAAAGTTTATCTAACATCTAGTTTTCATTTCACACAGAATCAGCCGAGGTTAGGCTTACATCATTTTACTTTTCCCTTTCAACAGTGATCCTGGATTTAGTTTTACTCCACTCATGTATTTATTATGCTAGGTATTCAAATTTTAAAGATGATAAATACATGTTCCTATTGCCATTATCATTATATAATAAAGACAGTATGTTCTGTAATTTATTTGACACTGAAATACATTATTTCAGTCTAGTCAGTATTACTCATTCTTCAAGCTAGTTCATCACTAGCAAAACAAACTTTATTTTTCTCTTCTATAAATACTAAGCCATATAACTTTCTAGAATTGTGAAGGTTAATAATACTTTACATGCGTATACATGTGGGTTCTTAAAAATAGGCATGAAAAAGATAAAGAACCTAGAAGGAAGTGATTAGTTTATCAAGGTAAATTAATTTCCTAAATAATCACATTGGTCATTTTGCTCCTTTTCTCAAACATTTTATATCGTGTTCTTGAAAAAATAAGTTCAGGGGCCGAGGATTTAGCTCAGCGGCAAAAGCGCCTGCCTTGCAAGCGTGCAGTCATGAGTTCGATCCCCGGTACCAAAGAAAAAGAAAAAAATAAGTTCAAGCTCTGATATTTAAAAATCTACAATTTGGCCCAATCATTCATCTCACAGAAATATTTGATCTCCTATGCAGTACCCTTCCAATTCAACTAAAATTTCACTTCTGTCTGGTAAAACTGATAGTGAAAAATTATCTGCAATTTTCTCTCTACTTGCTTTTTGCTTCCCTGCTCAATGGCTCGAAAATCCCAACCTGCAAAGTTCAACTCAAACTGCCAATTCTGTTGACAAATTCCAAGTTGAAGTCATGTTTTCCAACCTAGACTTTCTAATGTAAATTGTAACAATGAATAGTTAGTTCATATTTTCTATATTGCCATCATTCACAAATAAATAGATCAATAAATATTCAATTGTTATTTAACTTTTCCACAATACTCAAGTGATCTAGTATATACTATCAAATGAACTTCCAGTAATTATGAGAACATCCGATAAAGGCAATGTCCAGATATAATTACTAGTCATGTAGCTACTAGCTATATAGTAAAAGTACTAAACTCTTAAAATGTGGCTAGTAAGGCTTAGAAATTAAAATTTTAATGTACTTTAACTTGTGGAAAGCATCAACCCTACTACACAACTCGCGTTTCCTCAGCCCAACCTAACTGATCACTATCAGCCACTAGAGACCAAATTCTTTTCTCAAAATTCTACCCTCCTTTTGCCTCCAAGCAGTTTTTTTCTCCTCCCTGTGCCTCCCTCTGCTTGGTTCCCTTCTCCTAATACCCTGTAAGATAGCCACTCCCCAGTGTTGCATCTACAGCCACTTTTGTAGCTCTTCAACTTTCCCAGATGACTACACTGACTTCACGCTTTAAAGGGCTCAAGTCACCATTCATTTCCCAAATTACTCTCCTAACTTAAATCTCTGAGCAACAGTTTCTCAAGGTAATGCAGTTATCCTCCTGATACACTCATTCTTTCATTTCAGACAAAGCATTATATCTTCTCTGAAGGTTTTCCTAACTTCTCATTCTAGGCATAAAAAACAGAAATTCCATTTGTGTTGTCACTGCATCCTTCTATGAACAGTATCTTAAGATACTTTTCTCTTGTTACTGGGACAAAATACCTGACACTCACAGTTAGCATAAACTCTTTTTTTTTTTTTTTTTTGGTCTTTTTCCTTTTTATGGTACCGGGGATCGAACTCACGACTGCCTGCTTGCAAGGCAGGTGCTTACACTGCTGAGCTAAATCCCCAGCCCCTGACACTCAGTCCATCATCAGCCAGCTCCAAGGCAGGGTGACACATGGCAGAGGGTAATAATATTTCAAGGCCCCAAAGACAGCAACAAGAGCACAAGTGGGGGAAGAGCAAGCCTCTTTTCCTCCCATATACTGAATGCAGACTACTCACCCTAAGGATGCTTACAAAGTGAGAGCCTGGCCTGCTTGCTCAGTCACTTAAACTTCTTAAGCTGACACAATGTATGAACTATAACAAACAGGGCTGTAGATGAGATCCTGCAGAGCTCTATGTGGTCTTCAGACACAAAACCTGCACCTCTAATTTCCTGACTGAGGAGGTGGAAAGACAACTCATTCATCTTTCTTCCAGCCCATCATTTTCTTTTTTTTTTTTTTTTCCAGCCCATCATTTTCAACCCAACCATTGCATTCTGCCCAACACCTACAAAAACTCTATATTGTACCTGGCTCTCATCTCTGTTTACAAAGTATCTTTTAGGTCTTTGCTCAAAAGCTACTTCATTGGAAGACCTTCAAGACCTTCATTCCCAGAAAACAGCATCTATCACTTATTCTCTTAACCCTCCTTTCTACCCTACTTTATGTTTCATCACAGCAATCATCATGTGACACACCACAAATTTATTTTTTTGTCTTTCTCCATTCAAATGTTAGCTTCAATGCAGTCATAATTTGTTCTATTATACTCACTACTGAATCCTGTAAAATCAGAACCTGGCAAACTACAGACACTCAGTAACCTTTTATTAAACAAAAATATGAGTAGAAAAAAAAGGTTTAATAATTACAATTCTAATAACTAGGATAAGAATTTCTTATTTATAGTTTAAAGAGCTCCTCCGTTTGTTAATGAATTAGTTTAAGTTCTGATGTGGGAAAAAAAACAAGTCTTTCTATGATACACAAAGAACAAATGTGGATTGGAATCATGAAGTCTAAATTCTAAGCCAACTGAGTAGCTGAGAAGCTTTGAATAAATATCTTAAATGTGTTTTCTTATTTGCTCATTGGGCCAGCTGCAGTCGTAAGACTTTATTATCACAGTCTTCATAGAAAATTACCTCAATCCTAAAAAAGCCTTATTTATGATCCACGAGATACTAGTATTTTCTTTCACTATTAGCCCTTAGCCATTATAAGGCCAAATGCCATTGCTAGAATTCTCTCAACTGTTTTCTGTAGTCTTTTTTTTTTTTAAAGCAAAACAAAAAAGGGTAGAAATAATACAGAATTTTAAAAAATAGTAAGAAATCAATACCAGTTAATATATTACACATTGTTATCTTAGAATTGCTCAAGTTACAAAATCAAAGCATAAAAAATGAACAAACAATGACAGCACAAACTATTCTTTTTGATTAACAAAGAATTAGTATGCTTATCTGTCCTGCACATTTAAACATACATAGTTATATGTATATGCCTACAAGTTGTTCTTTCCCTTTGAGCACCTTCTTTCCCTTTCATTAATACAACATCTACTGTACATTTTGGATCTTATTATTCTTTGTTTTTTATCATTATTGTTATTATTTATTTTTTATAGTAGAGACAATATATTTGCAAATGTGAGTCTGATTTATTTCACTTATGAGTACAGTCTCAAGTTGTCTCCATTTATTTATAAAAGCCTCAAGATCATCCTTTTTATAGCCAAGTAATATTCCACTGTATAAAAACACTACATCTCAACTGTTTTCTTAAATAATTCTGTCTTTCACACAGTATCATGAACTGATTTATCATCAGTTTTCAGAGCATGAGTTATATTTCTTCTGGTCCTAGTGGTCTGTAAATCAACTTTCTTCATCACACATAGAAAAAGTTAAAAATTTATCAAACTGATTTCACTTGTAATTCATGGCCTTCATGTGGTGTGACTGCTAGCGGTTTTGAAACTAGAAAAAGGTTACCAATCTACAAAAACAGTTAAACCTATCACCGTGATTTTTGACTGCAAACACTTTCCTTCAAAACTGACCCAATCAGCCATGGTTGCCTGCAAAGGTTAGGCAATAAGAGCATGGCTAAACCCACAGTATCTCATCACAGTCATGACGGGGAGGACAGAACTGGTCAGAGGAGAAGCTCAGTGTATACATTTCAGAATATGATGTTTAATCTTATGACTTGTTTAAATAATCTTGGTTCTTAGTCCGAAAATAAGAACTTATTACCGAAATGTCATCCCCTATGATTCATAAATCTGCCACATACAGCAGCTCTCCTTCAAATATCAGCAACTGTATGATGTCTAAATGTCAAAATATTCACTCAAGATAGAAAAATCAAAATTAGTTATAGGAGAAAATGTTTTGAGTTAAATAAAATAGATAATGTATCATTTTTTCAAAGTACAGCATATACTGTATTAGGTAATGAATATAAAACTTTAAAAGGATGCTTAAAAATGCTATGTACAATCAATCTGTAAGATAAAACATTAGCTTTTACAAGCAATAGCAGCCATAGCAATTAGATTATTTGTGTTTAAAGTCTAACACTTCCCCTGACTAACGGATCTTAGATAAATTACTTATCCTCAATTTCCACATTCCTAAAAACACAGAAATATGTAGTTTACAGTATTATAAAGATTACATAAGAAAGACACCACACTCCAGGTATAGCACATAATAGTGATAACAAATCTTTTAGAGCTTTTAATGATAAAGCCTGCTCCAGCTTGGGTCCCACAGGTTTACCACACTGGCATACAGTAAGCATGCAAAAAATAATTTTCACATAAATATAGTTACCAAATGCAAAAAGTACAAACTCTAAAAATCTAGAGAGGAAAAGCAAGCCCAGTGGAAAAAAATATGAAGAATTACAATAGAAAGTATAAAGTATGAAAAGATATTTAATGATTATTTGTTGAGATCTCTCGCTATGTAATGCAGGATGGCCTCAAAGTTAGGGCCATCCTCCTGTTTCAATCTCCCTAACGCTTGGACTCCTGGCATGCACCACCAAACTGTTTGATTTCCTTGTTTAATCTTTTATTCTCTTATGTTTTGACACTAGGGTAGTTCTTGACTACAAAGACTAATAAAGTAAAACAGAAGAGAATTTTTCCAACAAAACCGGCAAAGTGTCAAGCTGAGGCAATAAACACAACCCTCTTACAAGCTGTGAGGTATTCAGTCGGTTACTTAATCCTTACACTACTAAAGTTTCTTGACTACAGAGCTATAATCTATATGCTTCTTTGTGGTAACAATGTTCAATAATACATCAATACTAAACTGAACCTTTATATATTTATTTACTTAGATACTTATTTTTAACATTTTTTTTTCTTTTTCTCTTTTTATCAGTACCGGAGATCGAACTCACGACTGCCTGCTTGCAAGGCAGGTGCTTATGCCGCTGAGCTAAATCCCCAGCTCCTTACTTAGATACTTAATCCCACAAGATTTGAATCTCTCTGGAGAGCTGCACGTTTACTGGAACAATCCAACTAAAAAACTCTAATCCAAATAAAAACTAAGAAATGCCAACATCTGGAGTAGGAGATCAAGAGATGACAGATCAAGCAAGCAAGAAAAACTACGAAACCGTGAATTGAATTCCAGCCACATTTGAATGCCACAGGCTGTTAATTCCGTTTTGTAATTCTTTCTTAAGCTGGTAACACTTTGACTTTAGTTTGTACTTTTTTCTCTTAAGGCCATCTTAGTCTGCCGATTCCTCAGTATTTTACCAACTAAATTGATTTTCCTTAACTTCATGGACAGCCAATTCAGTCATCTCTGTAAGATCTGTTTTCTTTTTAAATGAATACATGCTTTAACCTCAGTCAAATGCTACCACCTGGCAGTTATTGCCTTTGATTTTAGTTTCATGTTATGTACCTTTCTGTGACTGAACTCTTCTTCCATGTTCTACTCTGGTGATCAAAACAACTCAGCATGAGTTTCACTAATGTCCCTCTTCATCTTGAAATCTCTCAATGTATCAGTATTGTCTAGCAAGTTTCCCTAAAAGTTGAAGGTAATGAAATATTGGGAAATGTAGACTTCCCTGCAGTATTGTTTGATTATACTCACATCTTTGGGAACTGAGGGAGGAAATTATCAAAGACAAAGAAAGTTTTATCAAAAAAACCTCAGGAACCAAACTGAATAAACTCCTACTGGCAAAAGATAAAGTAATAAGACAATCAAAAGATTAGTTTAGATAACTGATTGAATATATGATTAACATGGTATGCTCAAAACTTAATGGTTCACCACTCATTTTTTAAGAATTCTGGGAAACCAAATCATAATGAAATTGAGAGTTTGAAAGGATCTTTAAAATAATATTTTTTCCTGATAATGAGGACTGAGCCCAGGTCTTTCCAATGAACTATATTCATTCCCCCCCCCCCTTTTATTCTTCATGATTACAGCAGGGGTTGCAGCGAATGGTTCCAAGTCTAGCCCTGGTGTCAAGAAAGGTTCGACAGAATTGAATTTTCAACATTACAGGGCCCCAGCTAATCACATATGCGTATTTCTTGGCGTCTAGTCCACCCCTTCTATAAATTAGAACACTTCTGTGTGCTTGGGGGTGGAGGCAAGACAGACTAGTTACCCTCCCAATTTGGCCTAGTTGTGCAAAAAACCTACTTTTCCCATTTTTATAGGCTGCATTTGAGCTGTTGCTGGCAAGCAGGCAAATGAACCCAGATAGTTGGGTTCCTGATTCAGGCCTCTCCTCCTCTTGCCACAAGAGTTATTGAGTTCAGAAAGCTACATACGCACTGCTTTCTGCGGGAACTATACCTCACAGTAATCAAATAGCTATTGTGGAAAATGTCAAGGGTCATTCTACATAATTTTTTGGGAAAAAGTACTTCAAAATTAAATCGTGGTTAGATCTTGTCCAAGGCCTCATATTTTGCCATGCGAGCCAACTATGGTTTGCAGAAACATAACTCCATGTGACTCTAACATTGTGACACTCCAGGACAAAGTACATACATACATACATCCGCCTAAGACATCCTGGTTCCTTGAGAACCAAGTCAAAAAAAAAAAGGTTTTACCTGGGGTAAAGGACAAACTTATTAACCTGTCATCTCTCTCACTGTCATTATCAACAGAAGATCCTCATTAGGGAAGATCACTGCCACCTTCTGAATCATCTGAAGTGATCCTCATCTACACAAAATCCTTCTCAACACAAGAGCACCGACACCATCTGGGTATTTTGATAATCCTGACAATCCCTTCACCATTTAGTTCAGTGTAATTGTGATCAAGGTTTTGGCTACCTTGTCGACTTCTGCTCCCTGTGAACAACTGGCTATCCCAGATCTCCACTACATCACTATCTTGTCTCTTGGTTTTTCTTTTCACCGTGCATCACAACCCCTTGCAGGAAAACGGGACTCACTACCAGAGTCACCGACAGGAAAGTTCTAATTTCTTCAGAATTACAGCCATCAAAGAAGACTATCACCACTTTGCAACATCTTGTAAGTTAATGGATCTAGGAAGGTTCATCAAGGCTGTTAAATAGTAAAAGCACTATGTAAACTACAAATGGTTTTTAATGCCTTTGAAACCACACATTTGAATCTTCAAATCTTGATCGTTTTTCTTTTTTTCACATACTTCCTATTTTACTGTCACTACTCTAGAGGTGGTAAATGGTTTCTGCCTAGATTACATGGTAGCATGTCACCTTGCTCCTCCCTGACTAACCACCTCTACTACTACTGCCAACCATGGTTACACAACATTTCCTACAAAGCTTAAGATACTGATGTTTGTATCTAACCTGATTCTCATTCAACTGAACAAGGGCACAGGCATGTATTAGAACTTTATAAAAAACAGCTGATAGACCTCTAATGTTCATGCAGTCACCCATCCAATATTCCACAATATTGGTAAAGTGACTTTCCTAAATCATAATAGGTTAGCTCCCACCTCAAAAAACTCAATGGTTTGACACTACTTTAAAAACAAAAACCCCAAACAGTAGAGGTAGTATGCACAATTTCTAACATCTGTGAGACACAGTACAGAAAAATGATAAAAGTTTGTTTTCTAATGCCAAAATGGACACCAGGTCTGCTAATTAATAGCTGTGTGACTCAGAGAAAGTTGGTTATGTCTTCATTTGTTAATTAAGGGTAATAATTCTATCTCATAGCATTGTTGTCAAGATTAAATGAGTTTATCTGTAAAGTACTTAAAATAGTTCCTGACACACAGTAGAAATTTCATAAATCTTAAGTTTTTATTCATGTCTACCAAATTTATTTTTTATTTATTATTTCTATGAATTTTACTTATTATTTTCTATGAATTTCCCTATTGTAGCAAACAGCACTGCCTGTGAGACCTAAAAACTCCTCTAAACACAGGGAAGCATGGACTTTGAAAGGTGCTATGTATATAAAATGTGCTCAATGAAGGAAACATGTTAGTTTTCCAAACTCAGTTATGTAAAGGTTTAACCAAAGTTATAATGTGAGATGTATACATGTATGTGTATATATATATATATGCATATATATATAGTGTGTGTATGTATATATATAAATATATAAATATATAAATTTTAGTTTACTAGCCCACGTGTGTTGTACATATTACAATAATGATTACATTCCTTGTGGGAAGCTGGTACATTTACATTTAATTCCTTTTTGCATCCCTTTCCCTTCTCCCCCTCCCACACATCCCTTGCATATTTACAGTACATAACATCTACATTCCTTGGGTGGAGTTGGTACGTGTACATAACACATCCCAAGTCCTTTTTTTTTCATCCCTTATCCCCCTATCTTTTACTTCTCTTCCCCCTTAAGAATGAAGTATCTCCCTACTTTCTTTATCTTTTATTTTGCTCTTACTCTGGGTTTCTCATTTAAGGGGAACAATGTGATACTTACGCTTGTGTATCTGATTTATTTCACTTAACACTATGGTCTCAAGGTGCATCCGTATATATGTGCACATGCACACACAAACACATGCATGCACGCACACGTGCTCACACAAGCAATTTATTCTCCCTCCCAAGACTGCTCTTGCTTCATTGCTGCTGTTTTACCATATGAAACTTAAGACAACTTCTGAAACAAGTGTACGAAAAACCTACTAAACAGATCTAAATTTAAAAACCTCTTTATGGCTCTACTGTCTCGTTTGCTGGACTTCTAATCAAATTTTATCTTTATGTACCTCTAACATGCTAAAAATACTAATTCATCACATAGTTCTCTTAAGTTTTATAGGGCTCCCCATTCATTAATAAAAAAGCTTTATTATTAATGTTCATAATCTCAAGATTTAAAAGGCACAGTCATGGTGTTGCCTTAGCTTTAATTACATTGCTTAAAAGATGCTTCTGTAGAGCCAGGCGTGGTGGCTCACACCTATCATCCCAGCACTCAGGAGGCTGAGGTGGGAGGATCTTTGCGAGTTTGAGACCAGCCTGGGCTACAAAGTGAGCTCAAGGCCAGCCTGAACTACATAGCAAGACCCCGTCTCAAAAAAGACAAAAAAAAAAAGATGTTTCTGTGTACTTTCAGGAAAAACAGCAAGTGATAATGTTTATGAAAAATCTTCAATTCACATATTTAAAAACGGAGTGACAAGCCAGGCATGGTGGCTCACACCTGTAATCCAAGCACTCAGGAGGCTGAGGCTACAAAATGAGCTTGAGGCCAGCCTGAACTGCTTAGAGAGATCCTGTTTAAAAAATAAATAAATAAACCTGAGTGGCAGCATTGTTTATGGATACTGAAAAAAATAAATCTTTTAAGGCCAGATCATTTATTTGTGTGGCTCTTTCTATTTTTAATTTTTAAACTATGAGCAAGATACATGTGCCAAAGATCTTAACATAAATGAAATGTACAGCAGTACTGCTGTTTGTCTTAATCTCTGGTCCACATTCAGCGGTTATACACACAGACAACACAATGCTAGTACAAAAGAAACCAACTGCTTCTTTTTGCAAGTAGGAACTGAATTCTAGTGAAATAACCACTTCCCTCCCTACCGAGATCGATGAGTGGGAAGCCACAGATGGAGGAAAAGCCAGGGGACAGGAGGTAGGAAGAAATGCTGGGTGACAGCCAATTTTTTGTGCCATTTTCTCTCGGTAATATTGCCATAGACAGATCATTGTTCACCCTGTGTTTACTACAGCATAGAACATGATTTAATACCAAAAAGTATTAAACACTGTTTCAAAATTTTTGTTTTTAAACTGCACATGTCCAATTGACAAATACATATAAACAAGTTAGGCAAAGAGGCTGGCAACCACTTTCTAATGCTGTTTTCCCCCAAATGAGCTAAGCGATTACAACAAAGAAAGCGGCTTGTAGCAAAGAACTGTACTCAGAGCAGAAATAAAGAAAACTACCTAAAGAAACAGATTATATCAGTGAAATGAAAAACGAATGGTGAAACTATTTTATTTAAGAAGATTATATACCCTAAGGCATGTACTTCTTGACTGACAAAAAAAAGGTCAAAAGCTAATTTCAAGACTTTTTCTATGTAGGACAGTATCAGACAAGTTAATATTCTCAGGAGATAATTCTTTTCTTTTTTTTTGGGGGGGGGGAACACCTGGGATCGAACTCAGGACCTTGTGCTTACCAGACAAGTGCTTGAACCACTGAGCTAAGCCCCAGCCCAGGAGACTATTATTTTCAAGAGGATATAAACTCACAAACAAAAATGTAATGTAAACGATTCTAAGCATTGTTTCTATGTAGATGTCTCCCAAGAGCCTCAGAGTGTTCTAGGTAGAGCTTTTGGAAAATAACAGGATTATGGGGTTTTAAAGACGAAATCCTGTCAAGAGAGTAGGGTGTAACAGGAAGATGCAAGTCATTGGGGTAGTGTGATTTATCTCCCTCCCTAACACCTCCATTCATTTTTTTCTGCTTTCTCTTTGCCTTGCCATGCCATGAGCAATTTTCCTCTTCCATCCCTCTGCTAAGCCATCCTGCTGTGGAATCAGCCAGTTATGGACTGAAACCTCTAGAAACTATGAGCAACAATAAACCTCTCCTACTTTAAATCACAGATTTAGAGTATTGTGTCTCAGGTCAAAGAATAGAAAGAAAAGTAGTGAACCATAAAAATAGTGAATCAATAGCCAGGCATGGTGGCATACGCCTGTAAATCCCAGCACTCGAAGGCCGAGGCACCTCTCACCTCCAGAGAAACATACATAAAACCACAGGCTTATTTGTTATGAAGACTGGAAGACAAAAACAAAACATTATTTGCAGGTGACATGAATTAGATAAAATATTAAAACTAATGAAAACAAAGTAAGTAGAAAGTCAGTATATAGCTATTAAATGTCAGAATAAAAATTTAACAAAATAGTAATAAAACTCTTTAAAGTTATGATTATATCTTATCATAAAGTATGATTATGAAGCTTACCTTGTTCATCACTCCCTCCCTCCTGAAGGCCCTGTCATTTCTTCCATTCCCCTCATTAACTTTAAAAAAAATTTTTTTTAATGTTTTTTGAGACAGGGTTTCACTATGCAGCGCAGGCTGGCCTCAAACTCACTTTGTAGCCCAGCTTAGCCTTGAACTCACAGTAATCCTCCTGCTGCTAGGATTACAGGTATGTGCCACCATGGCAGGTGTACCCTCTATTAACTCTTGAGGTTCCACTTTTCATATAAAGTAGGTGTCAATTATTCTTTTACAAAGTGCTAGTTGGATTTAAATAGGCAATTCTCAAACTTCTGGGTTTTAGATCCTTTTCTTCTTTTTTTTGGATGGTAATAGGGATCAAACCCAGGCCTTATATATACAAAGCAAGAACTCTATCATTGAGCCACATCCCAACCCTTAGATCCTTTTTTACTCAGAAATTTCTAAAAAACGTCAAAGAGCTATTGTTTATAGGTTACAATTATTGCTATTTTCTGTACTAAAAAATTTAAATGAGAAATTCACTCAGCCAGGTGACCAAGGTAAAATGCAAAAGTGACACATTATACTGACAGTATATTCCCGTGATATATAATGAAAATGACACTTTACTTTTGTGATCTTCCTCTCTAAAACCCCAAAGCCTAGACTAATCATGTGAGAAACACTGTATAAAATACCTGACCAGTATGTCTCAAAACTGTACTACCAAAGTTTTTTAAAAACAAGATTAAGTTTGACAAACTGTATGAGTCAGGAAAGCCTAAGGAAATGTGACAACTAAATGTAATGTGGCATCCTAGACTGGACCTTGGAATGGAAAAAGGACATCAAGTGAAACTAAAGAAATCTGGATCAAGTGTGATCCTGAGTTAATAAGTATATCATTGGGTACAATGGGGCATGTCTGTAATTTCCTTAGCCAGCTGAAGCAGGAAGATCACAAGTTTAAGGCCGGTGTAGGTAACTTAGTAAGGGCCTGTCTTAATATAAAAATTATAAAGGGATGGAGATGCAATGCAAGACTCCAGGTTCAATCCCCAGAACAATAGAAACTAACAACTGTATAGCAATAGTAAATCAATATAGGTTCATTACTGTAAGAGGATAACAACATGGGAAAGTAGGCATGGGTATATGAGAACTCTGTGCTATCTAAACCTAAAGGAGCTGGGAAGATGGCAGGTCAGGAAGCAGCAAAGTAAAAGTCTCTCTGAGAGAAACAACCCAGATGCTGGAATATCACACTCTAGAGAAGGCCACACAGAAGGAAATGGATCCTGTCGACCCAAGAAGAAACTAAAGTTTAAAAAAAAAAAGAAAAAGAAAGAAAGAAAGAAAGAAAGAAAGAAAGAAAGAAAGAAAGAAAGAAAGAAAGAAAGAAAAAAAAAAAAACTTGGACAGAAAGCAGTAGCCAGACGCATTCTCACCAGAGCGGGTCCCCACTGTCTGCAAAAAGGCCATTAGAATCTGAAGATGCACGGTCACTGTGAAGTTGGGGGTTGGCAAACCCAAGGACCTTGGTGAAGGGCGCAGTCACGGAGGGGAGTGGTGGACCAGAGAACTGCACTGGCTCGCAGTGACTGAGGGGGACTCAATTCTCCCGGGAGTGGGCGATTGGCCAGGCGACATTTTGGAGTTGGGCAGGATAAGCCTGGAACCAGAACTGGAGCTGGCTTCATAAAGCCATTCCTAGCGCGGAGCAGATTGGTAAGAATTTCTTGGACTGAGTCCCGCCCCTGTGCACAATCCAATAGCCTCGGCCAAGGTTTCCCTAAAGCTATCCCTAATGGGCCCCAACCACGCAGCACACACTAACTTGCTTAAATGGCTGTTTTGACCTGCGCTGTTTTGTTGTTTATGCCCTCTTTTTTATCTCAATCTCCATTTTATTATCTACTTTTTCATTTTTATCCTTTTAATTAAGGGAAAAATAAAAAATAGCAGGATATATTATAGTAACCCACTCTGATTTCCG